AAGATTGATAAAATGTCTTAGTAAATGTAATTTTCCATTGATGGTACACTTAACTATTTTGAGGTTTTGTGTGTGTGTGTGTGTGTGTGTGTGTGTGTGTGTGTGTGTATTTTTGTGTGACAGTCTCACTCTGTTGCCCAGGCTGAAGTGCAGTAGCGCGATCTCAGCTCACTGCAAACTCCGCCTTCCTGGTTCAAGCAATTCTCCAGCCTCAGCCTCCCAAGTAGCTGGGATTACAGGCACGCACCACCATGCCCAGCTAATTTTTGTATTTTAGTAGAGACGTGGTTTCACCATGTTGGCCAGGCTGGTCTCGAACTTCTGACCTCAAGTGATCTGCTGGCCTCAGCCTTCCAAAGTGCTGGGATTATAGGCATTAGCCACGGCTCCTGGCCTGTGTGATTTTTTTAGAGGTGAAAATAAAACTGCATAATTATAGCACTCTTGGGATAGAAAGCATGCTCATAAAAGTACTGAGTTTCTATGTCTTTGGGGAAGAACAAAACATAGGATGGTTTTTGGATTCGTAGGAATATGGATAATTAAGTATATTTGTTAAAATTTCAAAGGAAGCCCTAAATAATAAAAAAATTTACATATTTCAGAAAGATAAGGGGAAAAGGAGACTATGCAATCTTTATCAGTATAAAGAAGGCAAAAAATATAGGAATGAATGCTAAGAAAGAGAGCAATAAGTGTACAATAAAATAAGACTAGAAAAAAGTCTAAATTGTATTAGTAATCACAATATAGGAAATGATGACATTCACATATTAAAAGAGTTTTTCAGACTATAGAATAAATAAAACTTGGTAAAATACTATAAGCTAGAGGAACATCTAAGGTAATGCCACACAGAAAAGTTAAAAATAAAATGAACAAAGAAGTCTACTACCCAGATAGTCCTAAAAAGGCAAACCAAAGGTGAAAAGAAATGAACATAAATAGAGGCACAGTGGGACATATTACATAAGAATGAAAGACAGTTCTCCAGTACGATACACTGAAGATGAATTTGCATATTCCAAAGGGCGTTGTTGTGAATGTCATCAAACAAAAACTCAAAAACATTACAAAGAAACAGACAAAAGTACAATCCTAAGAAAGGTTTTTAACATGCCCCTAGTAGAATTAGTTAGATCTGGTAGATAAAAAATTAGGAATAACATAGAATATTTGAAAAGTAAAATTAACAAGCTTGATCTAAGGGAAATATCCATTTTAAATGTAATCTGATGATATAAAATATACTTTTATTTCAAACATTGGAATGTTTATAGATGATGAAAGAGAAAGAGAGAGGGAAAAGAGAGGAAAAGGTGAAGAAAGAGTGAGAGAAAGGAGAACAATCTTTACTCAAGAAACTGAAAAATATTCTCGACAACTTGTGGATTAAAGAGAAAATCACAATGGAAATTAAGAAATATTAAGAACTGATCAAAATAGTTGTGAGATGCAAATAAAAAGTACTTAGAGGTAAATATTTATTGCTGAATGCTATGCTTTAAAAAATAGCAAGAGAGTTAATAGAAATGGGTGGTTTTCACCTCAAGAAGTTACATAAATAACAACAGAATAATTCTGAAGGAAGTGAAAATTTAAAAAAAAACTAATAAATGTAGAAATCAATGAAATGAAAAACAACTAAGCAATACAGAAAATTCACAAAAATAGCCAAGACAGTGTTTAAAAATAGCAAGGCTGGAAGGTTTGCTCTGCCAGATATTAAAACTTACTTATAAAGACAGTGAAATTAAGACTGGGAGGCATTTGTCGTTTGGATGGACAAATAGAATGATAGAATAGACAATAAATAGACTAACACATACATGGAAACTATATGACATTATAAATTAGTGAAAACAACCTGAATTATTCAATAATGGATGCTAGGACAACTGGATACCCAAATGAAGAAAAAAATTAGATTGCAACCTAATACTATATTAAAACATAGCAGTAAAATTAAATGTAAGATGCAAGATTTTAAGAAAATGTCAGAAAATACATTAAAGACATTGGAAGCATTTCTTAAGCAAGACTAAAAAGCACAAATTAGAGAAGAAAATATTGCTCATTTCAACAACATCAAAATGTAAATAAAACTTCTGTATAGCAAAGGACACCATAAACAAAGCTAAATGATGAGCTACATAGACTAGGAGATTATTAGAGAATTCTTATTCAGAATATGAAAAGAACTACTACATAGCAATAAAAAATGGACAAGAATTAGAAAAAGGGGAAAGGATATGAACTAGCAAATAGTTGACTCTGCATACTCCTGTGACCCAAGCAAGCCATACACTACAGGACACTTTTGAACAGGTACAAAAACATCTGTGTCAGCACCGTTTGTATTAGCAAAGCAATGGCCCATATAGAAGAGTGAATAAATGGGCGTTTGGGTTGGTTCCGAGTCTTTGCTATCGTGAAAGACTGGATAAAGAGAATGTGGTACATATATACAATGGAATACTATGCAGCCATTAAAAAGGATGAGTTCATGTCCTTTGTAGGGACATAGATGAAGCTGGAAACCATCATTCTCAGCAAACTAACACAAGAACAGAAAACCAAACACTGCAGGTTCTCACTCGTAAGTGGGAGTTGAACAATGAGAACACATGGACACAGGGAGGGGAACGTCACACACTGGAGCCTGTCAGGGACTGGGGGACAAGGGGAGGGATAGCATTAGGAGAAATACCTAATGTAGATGACGGGTTGATGGGTGCAACAAACCATCATGGCACGTGTATACCTGTGTAACAAACCTGCATGTTCTGCACATGTATCCCAGAACTTAAAGTATAATAATAATTTTTTCAAAAGAGTGGACAAATGAACATGAATACCTTCATTCACTGAAGTATTACTTTAAACCTTTTGGTGCTTTACCAACTAAAGAATATTGGACTGAATGTCAGAAGGCCTGAGGGAGAGTTATCTTTACCAGAAACTATATACTAACTAGTATGAGTTATGATCCTAGGCAAATTCCTTAACCTGTTTGGCTCTTAGTTTCCTTGTAAGAGGTTTAGATGGGACTTGAAACAGCATTCAATCTGAATAACCCACGGAAGTTTAGAAGTCCACATGCCTGCACCCCTTCTCAGACCTACTGCGTCAGGGTATCCAAAGGTGGGCACGGTCAGCACCAGGCCCTTCCAGGTCAGCAATTTCACTCCCTCAGCGGGGAGCTGGGAGTGAAGACAGGAATTGCATTCATAACAACGTTTACAAGCACCACTTCTCATTTTAGTTTTCACTTCTGAGTTGTAGGTAGGCCTGACAATTTCCAAGTCTATCTTTCAGTCAGGGAGTATTCTGGAAGCAGAAGCCTCCTTGCTAATGCTCCTGTCTCAGCAAGGCAAGGAGTTACAGTGACCCAGCAACTAATCAGAGAAGTTGTATCATTTTCAGAGTTAAGAGTGTGGACTCTGGAGTTAAACTGGGCTCAGATCCCAATCCCTGCCTTTCAAAGTTGTATGATCCCAGAGAGTTACTTAACTTCCCTGCACCTTGGTTTTCCTATCTGTAAAATGGAACAGGATAGAAGGTAACTTCTAGGGTTGATATGAGAATCAGATGCATCAATATATCCAAAGTGTTTGGAAAGTGTTGAAACATATTGAGTGCTCTACAAACGCTAGCAATGATCATTATTAGACTATAGACCCAGAACTCCTGAGGACAGGAAGGGGACATGGTAGAGGACCTCATGTAATACTTTCATTAGCCTAATGTCTACGGGCGTTGCTGGTTTGCTTTTCTGAGTCTCTGAAGCCAGATATGAGAGAAAATTTGCAGGTACATTACAAAACTGTAATCCTTTCTGCAACTGCTATCTCAGAAAGATTTAATAAAACTGTGTGTTTTACATCCACCCCCACTGAACAGCCAGGGTAGAGGGATTCCAGTGAACTAGGTGGCCCTTAACTTGCCCAGATGTCTACTTTTTGAGAGCCCCATTTATGTTTAAAGCTGCTAGTTAGGAAGTTGTTTCAGCTGCAGAACAAGGCCATTATTTATGTTATCTCTTTGCTTATGGTGGTGATTCTCAATATTTTACATTTTGCATTTTACTGGATTTTTTGTTTTTGTTTTGAGATGGAATCTTGCTCTGTCACCCAGGCTGGAGTGCAGTGGCATGATCTCGGCTTACTGCAACCTCTGCCTCCCGGGTTCAAGCAATTCTCCTGCTTCCGCCTCCCGAGTAGCTGGGACTACAGGCGGACCCCATCACGCCTGGCTAATTTTTTTTGTATTTTTGGTAGAGACGGGGTTTCATCATGTAGTCCAGGCTGGTCTCAAACTTCTGACCTCAGGTGATCTGCCCAGCTTGGTCTCCCAAATTGCGGGGATTACAGGCATGAGCCACTGCGCCCAGTCACAATTTACTGGTTTTTGTTGTTGTTGTTGTTTGTTTTGTTTTTAAATTTCCCTTCCCGGGTTCATGATTATACGCTGACATTAACTAGCCATTTCTAGTTGTCATGTTAAAAAAATTACACAAATTAAACTTTATTCTCTCTTGTTTTTTTCAATCTGAGAATTTCTCAACATTCTGCAAGATAACTAGACCTCTCTAACTTACAGTTTTGGGCGAAGCTTAATGTAAAAATTTGGTTAACCCTGATAATGGGGGAGAATGCCTTCTGAGTCTTGTTCCTCATGAATTTCTGGAAATTGACACCAAATCTAAAGGGAAGAATGAAGAAAGTCCTAGACTGTTTGTTCTCCAAACAGACCTCCCCAGCCACCGTCTTGGCACCCAGTCTCATATCCGTTCCCTCTGTGGAAGAATTCAGCCAGCAGAACAGTGGTGAAAAGACATCGAGTTGGAGCCCAACTCAGACCTTAAGGAAGCACTCTTCCTTTAGGAGGAGATGTTAGGAATTTGTCCTTATAGACCTACAAAATGTATGCACAGAACAAGCATCATGCAATATTTTTAAAGGGTGGAAATTAAAATCTCAAGTGCGGCATAGTACAGATAGCAGGGAATATTTACAGAGTGACCAAGTGGTGAATTTTCCAGACTGACTAATGAACTTCCTTGATATCAAGTATGTGGTTGGATCTCAATTCTGATAAAGGAGTTTGCTGGGGTGTGCCAGAGATATAGACACGGTCTTTTCCAAAGTGATCATTTGAAAAAGAGATATCCACATCTTCAAGCCCATATAAAGGATAGAACCTGCATGGGGCAGCTTTACTTACTCCAGCACCTTCCTCCCCCAGGCAAAATGAAAATCCTTGTGAGTATTTGTTTCTGCTTCTTGACACTGTTGTGGTGACTGCTTGCAGACAATGCTCGTATCTAATAAGCCATAGATTTTGGGAGTCTTAGACAGATACTGTGCATGCTTCTAAGCTTCTATGATTGAATTAATGATACCTTTGGCAGAAATAGTGTTGAATAAGTCTGACTTTTTTTGTCCTTTGCCTGTTTTGAGACGTTTACTTAAAAGAAAATACAAAAATACAAAGAAATCTCTAGGTAATTTTGATTTGGAGGATGTTTGATAATAATCCTTTATTATGAGCTTCATAGGGAATTTGGGCTATTTAAAACAACTACATTTGCTATCTAAGAGAAAAGTTGTAATTTAAAAATATTATCAGTAGTAGTAATAATAGTACCTCTTATTTCTCAAATGCATACTAAGCCTTAGACTAAGCATTTCACGTGAATAATTTCATCTATTCGTTGCAACAACCCTATGAGCTGAGTAGTATTCTCCCCATTTTACAGATAAGGAGACCGAGAGTCAGAGGACTGTGATTTTCCCGAACCCATAAATGTGGGATTTAGAATGTAATTTATCCATCTTAATCCCCACTTGCAGGCACAATCATGGCAAACTTAAGCAGCCAGAGTGTCTTCAATGGCCTCCCGTTATGACTTAATTCTCCCTTGGGACAAAACGTTCCTTCTACGGCCGCTCCACTCCTCCATCTGATCCCAGCCTCCATAGTTCCACATTGCAGTGCCCCATGGACAGTGGGCTATGTTCTGACCTAGAATGGAACTCGCTCCCCCAGTCTCTGTCCTTTATTCTCATTCAGTTGCTAAGGGGGAAAGCAAAATGTTAAGTACCTCTTTCTAAAGTGTTAAAGATTGTCAGCTTAAAGAGGTCCCTCTCTCGGGGCTGTCTTGATTTTCCAAATTGAGACCTAACCCTGAAGCACAAAATTATTATATAACCATGGTGTATTAACCACAGTTTTGGATGGGAGATCATCTGGGGGCAGAGGACACTCCCCAAGCTCTCTCTAATCATACCATTAAAGTGGTTTAGCCCTTCAACTACTTGTTCAAACCACTATTTTAGACTCATTAAATAGAATACACAGGAGTATCATATGTTGCTAGAGCTGGTCTGTGGTAAGAGAAGATGTATCCCTATGGAAGGTTGAATATCTGAACACAGGTCTTTGTTAGATGCTCTACTCCCAGTCCCCAGAAGAGAAATATTAAGGGTGGGATGGAAAGGGAAGTAGGAAAGTCCCACTGACAGTTCTTAAAAATATCCCCGTTCCCCAAGACTCCTTTCATCAGTAGTTTTCAATGACAGCGCAGTCAACTCTGTACTGATGTAGTTTTCAGTGATAGTACAGTTCACTGATGTTCAGAAGAGAGGGCACAAAACCTGGGTTAGCATGTTGGAGCAGACACCTATAGAACTACAGCAAAATATCAGAACTGCCTCAATGTCGGCTCACGACCTGTGGGCCCAGCACTTGTATGATAGTATCACTAAGGCGTGGGTTGTAGGAGAATATGGGGGTTTTCCTTGATGTCAGCCTCAAAAGTTAATTGTGCTCTCAAGCATTCTATTTTCATAGTTTCCCTTAGGAACCTGTTGTGTCTTTATTACCCATGGTTCATTTTAAATCTGTATTACCTTCTCAGTCTGAAGGGATTAAAGTTTCTGTTTTTGTTTTTTTTGTTTTGTTTTGTTTTTTTATAAGAGGACACAATTTGACCACTATTGTGGTCAGTGTGACTCATACCAGGGTATTTCCATAGTAAAATGAGTCCTTCACTGCTCACCTGCCCCAAGTTTCTCCTATTATCTAGATGGTGATAATGCTAGAAAGAGTTTGGAATTAGGTGGCAAATGTAGAACCATGTGCCTGGCAAATAGAATGAACTCAATAATTGTCTGTCAAATGAGTGAATGTGTGTGCTTCACACTTTGGAAAGGGAGTGCTCTCACTGTCTCTAGGTGTACATTTTCTGAGATATCCATGCCTTTCCTGTCCAGTGTTCTCTCCTGTCCCCACCCTCGATGACTACCCTATAGAGAATGGATGTGGTGGGTCTGTTTTTCAGGTGGCATTTCTGATGGTGCTGACCATCTTTGGGATGCAATCTCATGGATATGAGGTGAGTTGGTTCCCTATGGGCTTTATCTCTTAGAGATGTTGAGAGAGGAAAAGGAAGGTACAAGAGAGCCTTAAAGACAGTAGAGATGCCATATACCTTATTTGGGATGGAATCTCAGAAATAACCAATAATGGAAACAATGAGCTTGGCTATTTCTTTCCAACCACAATACCTTCGCAAATGTAAGCCATTGCTTTAAAATTTAGTCAGTCTCATTTCTCCTGTGATATCACTACTACTCCCATATATAATATAGTAAACTCTAAGGAAAAGCTTTGCATTCTTATGGCATCACAAGCTTTTGGATTGGGACCCCAGTGGAGAGTTTTAGTTTTTAATCTCTTGTTCATAGCAGGCAGAGGCTTAATTTTGTTGAAAGAGTTGCCTTTCAAATGTATAAGATTTATGGAAAAACATTTTGTCTTTCTTTTCAATCTAGGTTTTTAACATCATCAGCCCAAGGAGCAATGGTGACAATGTTCAGGAGACAGTGACAATTGACAATGAAAAAAATACCGCCATCGTCAACATCCATGCAGGATCATGCTCTTCTACCACAATTTTTGACTATAAACATGTAAGCAGCAAATGAATTTTCATATTCTTCAGGACTAGTTTTCTAAAGAGCAGAGAGATCTATCTATCTATCTATCTATCTATCTATCTATCTATCTAGCATCGTACATACTTGAATTCTTAGATTTAACCTTGTAATTCTTTAAGAATTCCTCACTTTCACTTTTCTCTTTAAATAATCAAGCAATTGGTTAAAAAACAAAACCATTTTGAAGAAAAACATATGACAGGAAACATAGGCATTTGCTTAACCTTTTCAGGTAGAAATTGAAACAGAGAAGAGTAACCAAAGTTCAAAGCAAAGCCTGGCATGCAGACACTCAAACACATTTGTTGAGTGAATAAATGAATGAATAGTGCTTCTAACACAGAACATCATGCAGAAAAAGAACACTTGGTCGGGCACAGTGGCTCATGCCTGTAATCCCAGCACTTTGGGAGTCTGAGGCAGGAGAATCTCTTGAGCCCAGGAGTTGGAGACTGGCCTGGGCAACATGGCGAGATCTGATCTCTACCAAAAATACAAAAATTAGCTGGGTGTGATAGTGCATGCCTGTGGTCCCACCTACTTGGGAGGCTGAGGTGGGAAGATTGCTGGAGCCCAGGAAGTTAAGGCTGCAGTGAGCTGAGATTGCACCACTGCACTCCAGCCTGGGTGACAGAACGAGATCCTGTCTCAAAAATAAATAAATAAATAAATAAATAAATAAATAAATAAATAAATAAAAAGATAATAAAAAGAACAATCAAAAAGCAATCACAACATAGCAGAAATCCAGAGCAACTGTACACATTTAATTATGTACATAGGATAGGCAATAAATCGTACTTTTTCTGTAAGAAAGAAAGTTTGCTATCTAAAAGCATTAAACTATTTTCAAGTGTTAGATACTGGCATTAACAATAAGTCACAGAAACCTGCTCTGAAAACTTATCCTTCATCATTTATTTATTCATTTGTTTTCCATTTGTTCCACCAACCAATTGTGAACCTGCTTCTACCCAGGTTCCGAAATACGCACTATGGATATAAATAGGTTCCAGCTCATCTCACTAGACTTTTGAACATGCTCTCTGCCCCTTTTCTTCTAGAAATGTCTTCACATTCCTCTTTTCCATTGGTGTTGGCAGTTCAATGGCACATTTGAAAGTATAGAGTCATTAGAAGATGTGGTGTAAAAGGAAGTGGCACTGAAACTGTTTTTAAGCAACTGTCATGGAAATCCCAAAGCTGTCTTTAAAAAAATAGAGTAGTGAGGGCTTGCTTTAAGCTTCTTCCATTATCACCAGGCTCAGGCTCTGTCTATTTTTGAATTTTAGGAATTGACAATTTGTGAGAATTGAAAAATAGGAACCAGAAAGATTTCTATTAGATATAGCTTTCTAGGGTATATCATTATTTGGAACTCTCTAGAGACAATTTTCACTCCAGGTGAAGACTCAGTGGCCTTAGGCCCCTTCTGGCCCCAGGGTCTTCACCCTCCAATGCTCTTTCAATCCCACCTTATTCCAACCCATCTCTATCCAGGCAGCTTGGGTTTGAGGTGGAGAAGGGATGAAGAAAACTGGACAGGAAGAAAAGATGGTAAATGAGGAGAGGATAGATGAGACGTGTGTGTGGGGGTGCATGAGTGTGGGTGTGGGTATGCTTATGAGAGTTTCTAAAGCAGCACTGTCTAATAGAACTTTTTGCAGTGCTGGAAGTGTTCTAGATTTGTGTTTCCAATAGGGAAGCCACCAGCCCTTGTGGTTATTGAGTACTCAAAATGTGTAACGGAAGAAGTTCATTTTAAATTTTATCTAATTTGAATTTAAATTTAGATAGTGGTATACAGCTAAAAACTATCATATTGGACAGCACAGTTCTAAAGAATATTCTATTTATCCCAAATTGGGGAGGAGGCAGAATAAAATTAATGGAAAGAGGCCAGAAGCAGTAGCTTACGCCTGTAATCTCAGCACTTTGGGAGCCCAAGGTGGGTGGATCACTTGAGATCAGGAGTTCGAGACCAACCTGGCTAACATGGTGAAACTCCATTTCTACTAAACACACAAAATTAGCTGGGTGTGGTGGTGCACACCTGTAGTCCCAGCTACTCTGGAGGCTGAGGCAGGAGAGTCACTTGAACCAGGGAGGTGGAGGCTTCAGTGAACTGAGATTGCACCACTGCACTCCCGCCTGGGCAACAGAGTGACAGTCAGTCTCTAGTAATAATAATAATAATAATAATAATAATAATAATAATAATAAAATAATGGAAAGAGACAGAGAAGTGCTTCTTCTCAATCTTTCAAACCTCAAACTGCAGACCCTGGTCCCATAACATGAAAAGCAGAATACAGTCATGGGTTTGCACAAATTTCAAAGGGGTAGAAATGACAAGAAGAAAAATGAAAATGTTATGTAAAATAAGTCAACTGGATAAAGTTGATTGCAGGTTGGAAAGCAATCCCATCATATATTCAAGTCTTTCTTCCAAGGTTCAGGCATCATCTTCACCAAGTTCAGATTCAGGGAACTGGGGAGGATCAGTAACTGTACTCTTGCTGCCTCAGGGCTACATTGCATCCAGGGTGCTCTCCCGAGGAGCCTGCTTTATCCTGAAGATGGACCTTCAGAACACCCCTCCTCTGAACAATCTTCAACGATACATCTATGAGAAACAGGTAACTCTGGGGCACTCTTGAGTATTCTCTATTCTTAAGCCAGGCAATACTGGTATTTATGGAGAAATGAAGAGAGTGAGGGAGAAGATCATACTATCATGCCTTACCATAAATAGGATACTCAACTTACTAAAGTTATTAAAGTGTTTTAACTTTTATTATTATTTTTTAAGAGCAGGAGCAAATCTCGGCTTGATTTCCACCACATAGTCCTAAATACAAGAACTTATAATAAATTCCAGTGACATAGCAAGGACCGATCAGCTTATCTTCTCAGAGTAGAGCTATGAGAAATGGTGATTGGAAGAATAATAAGAGAAGTTCTAATATTCAATGACACAAAGATGCAAAGAAATAATACAGTATAGTGAACATATACAAACACTGCACTTCAGCTAGAGACCCAAGGTTTAAGTCTCCCTCCACAACTTCTTATAGGTGCCACCTTTGACATGGGACTTACCTTCTTTGGGCTTCATTGCCACCAGAGGTAAAATAACACTGGTAATTACTAATGAGGCTACTTCACTGATAGAGTGCTCAAAAAGAGATGATGCCTTGAGATCCCTAACTTCTTTCTGTTTAATAATATGAAACAGAAAAATCATCACAATTTAGAATAAGGTACACCAATTTTGGTCAATTTATTTTATGTTGTTTTCTGTTATACCGATCTAGGCTCTGGACAACATATTCTCCAACAAATACACCTGGGTCAAGTACAACCCTCTGGAGTCTCTGATTAAAGACATCGATTGGTTCCTGCTTGGGTCACCCATTGAGAAACTCTGCAAACATATCCCCCTGTATAAAGGGGAAGTGGTTGAAAACGCACGTGAGTACCAATAAATCATTCATTCACCAAATATTTTCTGAAAGCTACTATGTGCCAGGTGCTCTGCTGGGTGCCATGTGAAATGCAAATAAATGGAAACAGTACTCAGTTCAGTTTGTTTTGGGAATTCATTACATGCCATGTGTGTAAATTGTGCTAAATGTTAGGAATACAGAAATGAATTAAACTGTCTCCAAGGAACATATAATCTAGTGAAGAAGCTGACAAGTGAAAAGAGAGGATGGAATAAAGGATTCCTGGGTGTATGCAAGAATTTCAAGTAGTAAAAAGTCTTCTGGGCCCTAAGAATAGCATCTTTTGGAAGATAATAAGAAGGAAGTCACTAAGAAATACTCTCAGCATCTAGAATAGAATTGGTGCAGGAAAGAGGAGGCAAAGTGAACTTACAGACAGGGAGTAAAAACCCTGATTCATCTGGGTAACATATGCCACTGCAGATATTACTGTCATTTTTATACAAAGTTTCTAAACATGGCAGAGCAGCCAGAGTGAAAGAGGTCGGGCCAGCTGATGATGAACACAACAAAGGAAATTTCTCAGAGTAGTGGAAGGTAGATAAAGAAGAGTTCATGTTTATTATACATCTACTTCCCAGAAAAAAATTTTAGGTGCTCATTCATAAAGCAAATAAAGGCACATAGGTATGCCATTGATACAGAATGGCATAATATCACTGGGATTGAGCCAACCAGCACTTCCAAAAGTTGTCAGTTTTATTTAAGCAAATATGTTATTATTCTAATAATTCCAATAATATATTTTTTAATGCTCTTTCTTTGAAAAATTTCCCCTTTTCCAGATAATGTCGGTGCTGGAGACTGTGCAAAGGCTGGGTTCCTGGGCATCTTGGGAATTTCAATCTGTGCAGACACTCATGTTTAGGATGATCAGCCCTCTTGTTTTATCTTTTCAAAGAAATACATACTTGGTTTACACTCAAAAGTCAAATTAAATTCTTTCCCAATGCCCCAACTAATTTTGAGATTCAGTCAGAAAACATAAATGCTGTATTTACAGATTTTTTTGGTGTTTGTTGCTTTTTGAAAGCAGCAAAGGGAATCCAAGCAATGTCTATGTCACTATACAGAAGAAATAAAATTGCCAGAATTTCAAATAAGGTGCATAATGTGTGAAAATTCCCAGATAACACCACTGGGTCACATGCGGACTAGTCAGCTGGGATCAAACTTCCATTTCTGCATCTGCCGTCTGGACCAGCTTCCCATCTAACCATCCAAATATATGCGGGCAACTGGGTAGAGCAGAGAGGCTCACATAGTGGTGGCATTGACCTGGCCAGGGGAGGGACATGGCATACCCTTATCAAACAACTTGAATGCTCAGGTGAAGGCTTTTAGGGCCATTCATATGAGTTAAAATGTCTTTTAACTCACCAAAGCAGTAGACTCAACCTGAATAAACATTATTATAATATGTGTTGTCCTGGAGTGAGAAAGGAGAAAGGGAGAGAGGAAGGAGCACCTAACACCCAGGAAAAGATGCACCATACTGAAGATCGTAACAGGAGTGAAAACGTAACTAGAAAAGCCAAGTCAATATATAGCAGAAAAGCAACTTCCGATGTTTCAAATAAATTGCACATTGTGTACAAATTTCAGATCGTGAAACTGGGTCACACATGAACAGTCGGCTGAATGCAAATTCAGAGCAAAGAGGAATTACTTTAACAACAATTTATTCTCTTGCGGCAGACCTCTGGGATTCTAGCTACAGAGACCCCCGGCCTTTGCGTTTGAGCTGACATGGGACTCTCACTAGAGATTAGATGGAGAAAGGGCTTCAGCAGGCACGGAGCTGGAGGCTTTGTCTGTGAGACAGCTCTGCGGGAGCACTCATCCCCCAGGGCTCCTTGTCTCCCTCTGAGAGGCTCTGGCCCCATATAACCACCAGAATGGGAGAAGAAGGGCTTCCCCGTGGGATTAGGGCATATCTGTCCCGCAGGCCCACCTGCCTGCCAGTCCCTCCCAGGATTCCTGCCCGGCCACTCCACAGGAGTGTGTACACAGTGCAGCCTCAGCTGCTCATCCCGGGTGCTTTGCTCCGCTTGAGTGCATTCCGGCAGCCTGGGAGCTGTTTGGATTCCCCCAGTGCACACAGATCCCAGGGTCCAAGGGAGGGAGCTGTGAGCAGGTCCGTACTTCCCAGGGCTACGGTCCGTGGCTCCGGAGTGCGGAGTGCGGAACTGGGCCCGGTGCTTCAGCAGAAGAGGAGCCCAAACTCTCAGAAAACTCTCAGAGAGGGGTGAGCCGCACAGGTTCGTGGGCTGGTGTGGAACCTAGGCGTGCCTCCCTCTGCAGAGCTGGTCCAGTAAGGGTGGGGCCTGTCTCCCTGCTGGACCTCTGCCTGAAGGAGCCCCACGACCTGGAACACCTAACAACAACAAAAAGTCGCGGCCACAGTGCCAGTGATCAGGGGTCCTTCCTCCCAAAACCCAAGAGGGGACCTGGTGAGGGGTTACCCCTCTCATCCTTGCACCACAGAGCACGGCCTCAAAGGCCCGGATACACAAACGAGCCAGGTGGCAGAATGAGAGCCCAGCTACCGCCCATTGCTCTCAGGCGCCATCTACTGGATTTCAGCCCAAACTACAACACGAAAAACTGCTAATTTTCCTTCCTGCCAGGCTGAGGACTAGAATTCAAGACTGTTTAGAGCCTTAGCCCTCTGAAAACTTCCAGAAATGAAGCCACTGACTATATTCAGTTTACACCAAAGTTAAAGGAATACCAACCCTCCCAGATGAGAAAGAATCAGTGCAAGAACTGTAGCAATTAAAACCAAAGTGTCCCCTTACTTCCAAATGAGCGCACTACTTCCAAATGAGCGCACTAGTTCCGCAGCAATTGTTCTTAACCAATCTGAAATGACGGGCATAGAATTCAGAATCTGAATAGCAATGAAGCTTATAGATATCCAGGAGAAAACTGAAATCCAATCCAAGGAAACCAAGTAATCCAGTGAAATGGTTTAAGAGCTGAAAGATGAAATAGCAATTTTACAAAAGACCCAACTTGAGCTTGTTGAGTTGAAAAAAGAATTTCATAATACAATCAGAAGTATTAACAGCAGAATAGACCAAGCTGAGGAAAGAATCTCAGAGCTCGAAGCCTGGTTCTTTGAATCAACTTAGACAAAAATAAAGAAAAAAGAGCTTTAAGAAATGAACACAATCTCCCAGAAATACAAGATTATGTAAAGAGATCAAATCCATGACTCATTGCCATCCCTGAGAGAGAAGGAGAGAGAATAAGCAACTTGGAAAATATATTTGGGGACATAGCCCACAAAAATTTTCCTAATCTCTCTAGAGAGGTTGACATGTAAATTCAAGAAATACAGAAGACCTTGGCCAGATAATATACAAGATGACCATCCCCAAGGCACATAGTCATCAGATTTACCATGGTCAATGTAAAAGAAAAAAAACTTAAAGACAGCTAGGGAGAGGGGTCAAGTCACATGCAGAAGGACTCTCATTAGGCTGGCAGTGGACATTTCAGCAGAAACCTGACAAGCCAGAAGAGATGCAGGTGTTGGGTGGGAGGGTTGTCTATTTTTGTCATCCTTAAAGAAATTCCAACCAAGAATCTCATACACTGCCAAACTAAGCTTTCTAAGTGAAGGAGAAATAAAACCCTTCTCAGACAAGCAAATGCTGAAGGAATTAGTTTCAACTAGACCAGCCTAACAAGAGGTCCTAAGGGAGTGCTGAATATGGACTCAAAAGAATAACACCTGCCACCACAAATACTCACTTAAGCACGTAGCCCACAAACACTATAGGCAATTACACAGTAAGTCTACATAACAACACAATGACAGGTTCAAAATCTCACACATCAATACTAACCCCCAGTGTAAAGGGGCTAAATGCCCCCCTTAAAAGACATAGAGTGTCAAGCTTGATAAAAAGACAAGACCCAATCATCCACTGTTTTCAAGAGCTCTATGTTACATGTAATGACACCCACAGAATCAAAGTAAAGAGTTGGAGAAAGATTTATCATGCAAATAGAAAACAAAAAAGAGCAGGAGTCACTAGTTTTATATCAGATAAAACAGACTTTAAACCCTTAATAATTAAGAAGGACAAAGAAGGGTATTGCCTGGACTGCAGAAGGCTTATTGGAAAAAAGGAAGGGTATTACATAATGACAAAGGGTACAATCCAACAAAAAGTTTTAACTATTCTAAATATATACACACCCAACATTGGAGCACCCAGATTTATAAAACAAGTTCTTCTTGATCTACAAGAAGACTTAGACAGTCACACAACAATAGTGGGAGACTTTCACATCCTACTTACAGATCATTGAGACAGAAAACTAACAAAGGAACTTTGGCCTTAAACTTGATACTTGACCAATTGGACCTAATAGATATCCACAGAAAACTTTACCCAACAAAGACAGAATATACATTCTTCTTATTTGCACATGGAACACATTCCAAGATCAACCACATGCTAGGTAAGCAAGCAAGTCTCAATAAATTCAAAAAAATTGAAATCATACGAACCTTAATATCAGACCACAGTGCAATTAAAAAGAAATCGATATCAAGAAGATCTCTCAAAACTACATAAATACGTGAAAATTAAACAACTTGCTCCTGAATAACTCTTGTGTGAACATCAAAATTCAGGAAGAAATAAACAATTCTTTGAAATTACTAAAAATGGAGATATACCTTAACAAAATCTCTGGGGTACAGCTAAAGCATTGTTAAGAGGAAAGTTTATAGCACTAAATGCCTTAATAAAGAAGTTAGGAAGATCTCAAATTAGCAATCTAACCTAAAAGAACTAGACAGAAAAGAACAAACCAACCCCAAAGCTAGCAGAAGAAAAGAAGTCACTAAAGTTAGAGAAGAATGGAATGAAACTGAGATGCAAAATCCATACAAAAGATCAAATGAAACCAATAGTTGTTTCTTTGAAAGAATAAATACAATTCATAGACCCACCTAGCTAGATGAACAAAAAAGAAAGAGAAGATCCAAATAAACACAATCAGAAATGACAAAGGCGGTGTTACAATTGATCCACAGAAATACTTATCCTCAGAGACTACTATGAACATACACAAATTAGAAAATATAGAAGAAATGAATAAATTCCTGAAAACACAAAATCTCCCAAGATTGAATAGATGTGAAAATCCTTAACAAAATATTAACAAGCCAAATCCAGCAGCACATCAAAAAGTTAATGTATCATGATCAAGTAGGCTTCATTCCAGGAATGCAAGCCTGGTTCAACATAGGCAAATCAATACATATGATTCACCACATAAACAGAATTGAAAGCAAAACGTACATAGTCATCTCAATAGAGGCAGAAAAAGCTATCGATAAAAATTCAACATCTATCAAGGGACCATACCTCAAAATAATAAGAACCATCTATGACAAATCCACATCCAGCATCATACTGAATGGGCAAAAGCTTGAGCCATTCCTCTTAAGAACAGGAACAAGGCAAGGATACCTACTCTCACCACTCCTATTCAAGGTAGTACTGTAAGTACTAGTCAGAGAAATTAGGCAAGAGAAAGAAATAAAAGGCATCCAAATAGGAAAAGAAGTCAAACTATCTCTCTTTGCTGATGATACATTTGTATACCAAGAAAATCCTAAAGACTGTCAAAAGACTCCTAAAACTGATGAATAATTTCAGTAAAGTTTCAGGATACAAAACAAATGTACAAAAATTAGTAACATTTCTATACACCAACAGTGTCCAGGCTGAGAGTAAAATCAAGAACACAAACTCTCTTAAATAGCCACAAACAAAATGATATATCTAGGAATACAGTTTTCACTAAGGAGGTGAAAGATCTGTACAAGGCTTAAAGAAATCATAGGTGACACAAAAAAATGGAAAAAAAATCCATGACCATGGATTTGAAAAATTAATATTGTTAAAATGGCCATACTGCCCAAAGCAATATACAGATTCAATGCTATTCTTATAAAACTGCCAATGTCATTCTT